GCGACGAAGGGCTGCTTGTCGGCCGGCGCGTACGCGCGCAGCACGGGCAGCACAAGCTCCGCCACCGATGGCTGCGGGTCGTACCAGAACCACAGAAAGATGATGACGATGTTGAAGTGTCCCTTGGAGACGAGCTGCGCGAAGCGCGTCGCGTTGGTCCACTCGTACAGCCCGGGCGGGTCGCGCAGCCCCTTGCGCAGCTGGTCCTCCTCGAACCCGTCGATGTGCAGGATGGACGCGAGCTGCTTCGACTTTGGCTGCCGCAGCTTTGCGGGCGTCGAACCGCGAAAGAGCATCGACACCTCCTGGTTGAGGTAGACGAGGTCCTTGACGAAGCGGAGCAGCCGCACGTCGCAGCCCATCGACTGCAGGTGCTGCTCGTGCACGATGAGGATGCGGTGCCGCGGAAACTCGCCCGAGGCCTCGCCGCAGTCCTTGCCGGACGGTGGCGCCTGACTCGCCGACGCATTCGCCGTCGGCGGGTCCACCCGCCGCATCCCCGCCCGTCGCAGCACCTGCTCCGCGGACGGAAACGCGGCTCCGGGCGGCGGCACGGCACCGGCGACGCTCTCAGGCACAGACACCACGCCGCCACTGCTGGCGAGCGGCTGGGTGATCACCCACGTGCTCCGCCGGGCGTAGAGAGCGCCCTGCAGCAGCACCAGCACTAGGATGACGGCACAGACGGCCACCTGTGGCAGCGGAGGCGCCATCGCGCCTCTGTGGCACTAGACCGGGTCTGGTCGCACAGGAGGGACGCATGGCCGGTGTCGCCTCGGCGGGCGGCGGTTTCGAGAAATCGAGCTGGCTCCTCTCTCCCTCCCTTGAGTCGCTGTCTCGACTACGGCGGGCACGTCTCGAGATCATGGTGCGCGCGCTCGCCCCACCCGTGCCCACGGCGGCCTGCGCGCGCGCGCGCGCGGTAGTAGGAGTAGGCTGCGGGTCGTACCGAACCGGTGGGTCACCACCGGTCTCTGGTCCCCGGGAGCAACGAACCGTGCAGCCAGACCATGTGCGCAAAACTGCAGCACATTCAGCGAGAAGGAGAGCACCAGCCGAGGCGCTGCCCGCCGAGGCCCGAGCACGCGAGGAAGCGCGAGACGGGGCGGCGTGGGGGCCGCCCGGCGAGCAAAACGACGGGTGCCGCGCGAGTCGCGTGCGTCAAGCAGTCGAGGCTGTCGAGGCTGTCGAGGCTGTCGAGGCTGCCGAGGAGGCCGAGGAGGCCGAGGAGGCCCCCCCCTCCCCCCCAGGATCTCGAACCAGGGACCAGCCGACGCGTAACGGGGAGGCGAACGCACGCGACACGACGGATGTCGAGGTCCGCAGCGACGGAGATTCACCGGCTCATATACGGTGGATTTTATTTACTTGTTTGTAACAGCTGCAGCAGAGCAAAACCGGAGGACCCCCCCCGCAGAGAGAAAAGAAGCGAAAAAGCCAGACGGCGCGCTCGAAAAAGAAAACGCCGTACCCGGCGCCCAGCGCCAAGGGGATGCGAAGCGTGGA